TAAAATAAAAAAATTTAAATAAAAGAATAAAAAAGAGGCAATAGGAGCATCCATTATGAGTTTTTTTTTAAATAAAATCTTATTTACTTATTTTTAGAGAGAGAGGAAGGGATGGAGAGATGGAGAGAGGGTGAGGGACCTGCCCTGTAACCCACACGTGTGCCCTGATGAAGAATCAAACCAGGGACCTTTTGGTTTGCAAGCCAGCTCTCAATCACTGAGCCACATCAGCTAGGGCTCTGATAGATTACTGTATGCAAGTTAAGGTACATTGGAATAGAAATTTGAGTAAGCAGAGTCAGTGAGCTAATACAGGAGATGAGCAGAGGAAACACTCAGGGAAAAAAGGAAACACTAAGAGAGACAGAGGCCATGTGGACCCCAAAAAGGAAATGGAAAAAGTAGCTAGTCAATATGGCCGTAAAATAAATTCTCTCTTTATGAGTAAGTAGAGTTGGTCTGTTATCTGCAACTCAATGAGCTACACTAAGACAATTACAGATTCCAGAGTCAGAGGTACAGAAGTTTCAATCCACCTTGGGGTTAAATTGTACAGGCTGGGTGGGGTAAAGTATATAAAATAACCAGCACAAACATACAGTATGCACTCAAAAATGTTAACTTTCTTTGATCGGTATTCTCTGTGTCACCTTGGATAGGCCCTAGTTATTTAACCAATTGGTTAATCTAGGTGTTGCTCTGAGGTATTTTGTAATTCTGTCTAAAGTCCAATTAACTGTAGGTATTCTACATAATGTGGGTGGGACTGATTCAATCACTGTATTTTCAGACCATAAGACGCACCCAGGGTTTGGAGGCGGAAAATAGGAAAAAAAATTTGAAGCAAAAAATGTGGTAAAATATTTAATAACATAAACAACATAACATTTCCAATGTAAATGTAAACATAACTCAACAGCAGCATTAACAACCATTATTACCGACTTTAAGCTTTATGGTGTGGTGTGCCTTACAGTCTGAAAAGTATGGTAGTTTAAAGGATTTAGAACAGACTGAGGCTGTTCTCCACAGAGAAGTTTCACCTGAGGACTCCTGCCCTAGAGGTCCAGCCTGGTCTTCCCAACACCTGCACTGCAGAACTGGACTTGCTTTGCTAGCTCCTGCAATCAAGTAAGCCAGTTCCTTAAAATATACCTCTTCCTAGTTTTTCTTTCTCATGTGGAACCCTGACTGACAGACTCTTTTCCTGCAGACTTCCCAACCCTTACAGTGTTTCATGAATCACTGGTCATAGGAAGAAAGATTTTAGGCCCTTGGAAAGACCCATGCCATCCCCTTTGCTAGACTTACTTAACTTAAATTTTCTCAACTCCTGAAGCCGTGGAATGTTCTATATGTTAGTAAACTCTGGAGAATGTAAAATAATGAATTCCTATTAAGTTCTATGTTTTGAATGATGTTTTCTTTAATTATTAAAATTTATGAGTTATACTTTTTAAAAGAGGTATTATGAAGTCAACAATGAAAGTTCCCTTTCCTTCACTTTCCTTCTCCTATTCAATTTCTCTTTTTGGAGATGACAACTGCTAGTAATTTGAATTTTATCCCTTTAGCTCTTTTGCTAAGCATACATGTATATGAATGTTTATGTTTTAAAAGGTCTATCTACAAACATGCATGCATATACATTAAAGCATAAATGAGATCAAGCTATGCAAAGTTTTAAAACAATTTTATTCTCTTAGAAATATGCTTTGGAAAATTTTCTATGTCTCTGTATATTCATATATATAACTTTACATCATTCCTCTTTAAGTTGCTGTGTACACTTACTGAGTTTTACTGTTCTAATGTTAACCATTCCACTGCTGACTTTCAGTTTCTCCCTACTGTAATGTTAGGATGAATATCCTTGTATGTGTAAACTTAGGTACATATATAGGAGATATTTCTTCAGATTAGATTCCTAATTGTTGGGTTAAAGATTATCTATATTTAAAATATCATAATATTGAACTCTCCCACCAGAACTATATGGAATTACTATTTAATCACAATGGCATCATCAGTCTCGAAAATACTTTTACTCTTTCATAAAGGTCACAACTGAGCCATTTATCACTCTACCCACAGGAATATTGGAAACAAATTAGCGTATTTCTTTAACATTTTGTCCAGGTAAATCTCAACCTTCTCTATCAGTGTTTTCTTGATTTATTTAACTCACAGTAATTTATTCCTTCTAGAAACCCAAAGCATTACTATTAACACTTATTTGTTATTGAGTCATATAGCAACTTCTCAAACTGCATTGTAATTGCATTGCTGTTCAACGTCCAGACTTCAGAATGACCACTGTAGTCTAGTCAAGACTACAGAAAGAGTCCACAGCCAGGTCAGTCAGTGAGGCAATGAGTTGAATCCAATCAACAAGTTAGCTGCAACATGGTAAGGGGTGCCAAATTTCATCTCTCCAAATCTGGTAGCTAAAGTTTCATTGTTGGCAAATCAATCTTATAAAAGGGCCCATGGGTCCATTCTTCCTCTAACAGAATAAACCTGGAACTATGTAGTACTCAGGTTCCTTGTTCTGGTCTGGAATTTCTGATGCATGACCAATTACATTACTATCCTGAATTCCCAGTCCATCTTAGATATTAAATTCTATTATCTTAAGTAAGTGGCTAACAGAGCTGCCCAGCATCATGAGTATCATAATGCACATCGCTAGCCTGGAAAAAGAAGAAAGTTCAGCATTTAATGATGGTTTCTACTGAAAGTGTATCACTTTTGCACCATCACAAAGTCAAAAAATCACAAGTCAAACCATTGTAACTTGGGGACCATCTGTATATGAAAAGTTAATATTTTACCATATCCATTTTTAGCATTATTTTTAAACAGATTTAATTTTTTCATTTTTAGAGAGCAGGGAAAGTAGGGAGAAGGAGAAAGAGAGAGACACTGATGTGTGAAAGAAACATTGTACCCCCAACTAGGGACCTGGCCCACAACCCAGGCATGTGCCCTGACTGGTAATCAAATCAGCAACCTTTCAGTTTGCTGGCTGGCACTCAATCCAGTGAGCCACACCAGCCAGGGCCCATAATGGCTTTTTAAAAAATTGAGATAAAATTTTTTCTAAAGTACACAGTTCAGTGGTTTTTTTTTTTCAGTATAGTTACTACTATTGAATCCCTGACCACTTTTATCATCCCAGAAGGAAACCCCACACTCATTAAGTATTTACTCCATCCCTTCTCACACTAGCCCTGGCAATCACTAATCTCTCTCTCTATGGGTTTACCTATTTGGACATTTTACATAAATGGAATCACATATGTGGCATTGTTTTCTGGCTTCCTTCCCTTAGCACACTAATTTCAAGTTTATACATGTCGTAGCATGTATCAGCACTTCATTCCTTTCCATGACTGAATAAAATACCATTATACATTTTATGTATATGTCCATCAGTTGATGGACATTTGGGTGTTTCCATTTTTTTGCTGTTATGAATGATAACGCTATGACTATTCATGTACAAATTTTTGTTGGGACATATGTCTTTAATTCTCTTGGATATATACCTAGAAGTGGAATTGCTGGGCCATACAGTATTTCTATGTTTAACTTTTGAGGAATGACCAAACTATTTTTCATAATGATTACATAATTTTATATTTTTACCAGCCAGTATATGAAAGTTCCAATTTTTCCACATTCTCACCAACAATTGTTATTATTGATTTTTTGTTTGTTTATAGCCATCCTAGTAGGTTTGAGAGGTATCTTATTGTGGTTTACTTTGCATTACCCTAATGACTAAGGAGTTTGGGCATCTTTTTATGGGCTTATTAGCCATTGGCAAATCTTCCTTGGAGAAATGTCTATTCAAGTCTTTTGGCCATTCTTAAATGAGGTTCTCCTTTGTTATGAGATGTAAGAGCTCTTTATACATTCTGGATACTAGGCTTCCATCAGATATATTTTGTAAATATTGTAACCCATTCTGTGAGTTGTTTTTTTGCTTCCTTACTACTGCTCTTAGATGTACAAGAGTTTTTGATGAAGTTTCATTTCTCTTGTTGCTCGTGCTTTTGGGGTCATTTGAGACTGTTATCATTCCAAAGCCACTATATTTCCTTCTAAGGCTTTTATCATTTTAATTCTGACATTTTGATATTTGGTACATTTTGAGTTAATTTTTGTATATGGTATGTGGTAGAGGCCGAAATTCATTCTTTTGCATGTGGATGTCCAGTTGTACCAGCACCATTTGTTGAAAAGACTATTCTTTCTCCCATTAAATGGTCCTGGCACCCTGGTCAGAAGTCAGTTGAACACAGACAAATGGGATTATTTATGGACTCTCAAGTCTATTTCATCACATTGACTTTTTAACTTTACAAAGAAATCATTTTTAGAATTATTTTATTCAGCATTTTAGCTCTAAAACTTCCAAAATTATTTATCATTTATTCAGTTTGTTGAAATGAGCCAGAATCAAAATGCTGTAGGAAAAATTTACTAAAAATCAAAAGAATGGTTTTATAGCAATATTATGATATGTTACACTATGTTACAATTATGTACTTTGTTATTAGAATTATTTCTAAAAGCATAAATTGATGAGACATTTAAGAATCCATTTCAGTATATCTGAAACTAAAATTATAACTAAAATATTAGACACTATATAGTATAATATAAAATATGAATGGATACATGAAATAAGGATTTTTAATATTTAACTTTCACAAACTTATGTACAATAAGAATAAAACAATACAGTTGTGCATTTAATGTTCTCTGCCCTCCCAAATATTATTCTGTTCTGTTACATTCTCTCATATAGTGAACATTTATTTGAGAGAGACATCATATATGTACAAAAAAAATAGAAAACCATGGCTGGGTTGACATTGCTGAGGTTAAAAGACCCATAGCAAAAAGTAGATTTTTCTTTTCTCAATATTCAAGCCACTCCCTTCCAAGCATTCATTAACTATCACGTGTGAAGTTTTGACTATGTTCTCTAAACTATGGACTACTTTAAAAAGATGTGTTTTCCAGATTTGTCACTAGAAGCATCCATGCATTTTGGGCATCAGTTTCACAGTCCTCATCTTCATTGTAAGGCTCTTTATTATCAAATAGTCTGAAGGTGACAAGGCACATTCCATACCCCCCCCAATCCTCTTATGTACAAACATAAAAACATGTCTCAAATAATTAAAACATACAGCACATGCTTGGATACCAATGCTTTGAAGAGATGTCTCCCAGTTACGAGCACCCCGAGTTTCTCATTAAGAGATTCTACACATGACCTGATGGAAATTTGTTCACTTCTGGTTCATTTGAAAGTGAACCTTAAAGGAAAAGAGTGTAAAAATCTATCACTGCTATTGAAAACTCAGAATGAATCAAATAAAAAACATTTGATGACTATGAAAACACTTTATCCTTTCACCATGCTTGTAAGTATTTATCTTCCACTTCCCTGCCTAAACAGTTGTAGAAGAACGTTAACACTTTAGGCGCTCCCAGACTCTGCAGTTCTGTCATCCCCCAGTAGGGGACGCTGTTGCATTAAAAAGTGCACTAGCTGCAGCATTTATCTCCTGGGCCTGTATTCCTTCTCCATTTTTGAGATACATTTTTAAAGTCATATAAATATGAATATTATTTCTCCAAACTCTAAGATATTGAGAGTTGAAGAAAAACAGAATTCTTGAAGGATGGTTCTTTTACACACTATCTTCAGAGATATTTCATTGTATGTGACATTCTTGGAGGTTGGTATCAAAGTCCCAAAGTATGAAATGCATCTCGTAAATCGTCCACTTCATATAGGGGCTGTAGAGAAGGAGAGAAATGAACTCAGTGGATGACTTTGTAACATTTTGGAAGACAGTAAATTGGGAGGGAGGAGGAAGAGGAGACAGGAAGTGGAGAGGAAGGAAATAAATCCCGAGGAGAGTCTAACAGATCAGACATGTGAGTGAGGAAAGAGAGGGGAGAGAAAGGGGTCTTAGCAGAGGGTTCTGAACTGTGAAACAATACAGGAGGGGACTCAGTTGTAGGAGAAATGACAACACAAATGACAAAGAGAAAACAAAGTTTTCATAGGACGAAAAATAAGGAGAGTGTGATAAATGGACAAACACACACATGAAAGGCCCGCACACGAACATGAAAATGTAAGAAATGTAAGTAGCTCCAGGAGAAGATGACTCAGAGAAAGAAAATGAGAAGCAAAGGAGCCCTTACCAAAAGGATGCGTCGGAGCTGTCTGGATAGACGAACTGAGTTTTCATGCAGCCCCTCCCAGGCTCTGAAAGTTTTTTCACGATTTTCCACGAAAGTATTCCAGCAATAAAAATAATCTTTTAAAAGGGGAGGGAGGCAACAGAATATAGCTCAAATCTCAAATCAAGAGGAAAGAAGAATCCCCAGCCCCTTTTAAATTCTCATTTCCCTCAAAGCCTGTGTCCAAGTCATGAGTTCTTTTCTTCCAGTTCTAGGTGATTTTTTTTGAATTTTTATGAGTTTATTTAAGCCAAAACTGACAACCTCCAGGAAGCAGGATCTCAAATGCTCCTCTAGCTGATAAGTTTTGGCTCCAACGGTGAACTAGAACCCTGGTACAACTTTGCCCCTTGTATGTACCCCCTGAATCTTCTCAGTCTGAACCGCAATCCTGAATGACAGCGGCTTCCCTGAGCTGGAACAGTAAGCAAGGTCTCCCTCCTACCTTTGAAGGTCATGATGGCGATTTGAACGCCCGCGCGGTGCAGCCGCCGCAGACCCTCGGGCTCAGCCTTGCGGTCCTCGCAGAAGTAGAGGCGCGCGGTGAAGATTCTCAGACTGAGGTTGGGGTTCCCTCTCAGAAAGTCAGCCACGTGCCGGGCGCAGTCATAGCAGGGACTCCACGAGGTGAACCAGGTGACGCGGTAGCACCGGCCGGGGTCCAGGTCCCAGTCGGAGATGTAGCGCAGGAAGAGCAATTCCACGTGGCAACCCGACTGGAGAGAGAGCAGAGGACACGGCTCACGTTTACTGGCCTGTACTGTGGTGCCCGTCACTTTTCAGTCATTAATTCTTCTCCCTCCCACAGTGATCTCTTCGGGGGGCAGCTACAGTTCTGTGCTTAGGTTACTGAAGGGTTAAGCAACTGCCCCAAAAGGCCCAGTGATGAGCCCAAACCCTTTACACCCTTGGCCTTGCAGAGTGGAGAAAGGCTGTGGGCTTTCTGCAGCGTGAGGAGGACCGAATGAGTTGAGTTGGGATCGAGTAGCATGACACTATCTTAGTAAAGATTTAATATGTGTTTGTGAAGTTATCATAGTTCTTGTGCCTTTGAGGAGGAGGAAAGTGTCTTTGAAGTGCCTGGTGATTTAACATTGTGGGAATACACAGTACCACTAGGTGGAAAGTTTATGGTTGGGAGGGCTGGAAAAGGTAAAATAGATTATGGCGAGGCAGCCTAGTGTTGTAAAAGCAATTAAATAATGTGTTTTAAGTATTGTGTTTGCTCATCATATGATCCCTGTGACTGTAATAATAACCACAATAGTGAGATATAGCAAGTCCACTTAGGATTGCAGACAAGACCCAGAATCTGAAAACCGTGGTTCCATCACCCTTCATGTGACTTAAACAGGTTACCCAGCTCTTGGATCTTCTAATCTTATCAGTAACATGGGCTGGGATGGTGTTATGAGGATCACCTGGGAGGGTAGTAAAGGGTTGGTACCAAATAGGAAAGAGATTAGAATGGAAGATAATTGCAGTGACATAATTGACATAACACAAAGAAGGCAAAGAGAACTGGATAGTGAAACAAGCACTAAATAACGAGCCAGCTGACGTCATTCCACCCACGGGTTCTTCCCTGGGATGCCACCAAGGCCAGATGTCTGTGCATGTTGTGAGAGAGGAAATATTCATCGGCAGATTATGTAAACCCATCCGGATTTTGGTGAAAAAGTTTTTTGGAAATGTAATCCTCTGATCTTCTAGATGCTGAGAGATTGATTTAATTAATCAACCAATAGAGGCTTCCCTGAGTTTTCTGGGGCTTGCCATGCTGAATGTATTCACTGGCCTATGCTCTATGTGAGCAGGAGGGAATGGAAATCATTTGGAGAACAGAACTGGTCATTATTAATTTTTCCTAAAATTTCTTCTTTAATTTTCAAAAATTCTAAAGACACAATTTGTTTTTCGCATTGAAAAAGAGGATTTTATTTCTTTATTTTTAGAGAGGGGGGAGGCAGGGAGAAAGAAGGAGAGAGAGAAACACCTATCAGTTGCCTCTTGCACGCCCCTATACATCTCTACCCAGGGACCTGGCCCACAACCCAGGTGTGGGCCCTGACTGGGAATCGAACCAGTTACCTTTTGATTTGCAGGACAACACCCAGTCCACTGAGCCACACCAGTCAGGGCTGTTTTTCACATTTAAATTTTAGCTTGAATGAATTGATAATATCTCCCCAAATCAAAAGGCTCTTACATTTGATTTTTTCCCTTAATCTCAAAGGCAATTTGGATGCTAGAGAAAGGGGAGGAAAGTTTAGGGGCAGTTATTCTCAGCAGTGAAGCAAGGTCTGGCATTAATGTGCCCGGCGTGATGGAGAGGACATTCAATGCCATCCTTTGGGGCATATTATATCTATTATGGTTGCATGGATATATAAAAAGAAAACAAAACATTACAGGAATCTGGTGGAGACAGAAGCAAAGCATTCTAAAAGTAGTACCATCAGTAGGTAGGTGGCTCTAAAAGTGCCCACAGGATAGCTTTTAATTGCCTGGGAAGCAAATATTAATTGATACCTTATTTCGAAGGTGACCAAAGTCCAATGAAAAGGAGGTGGCACTGTCTCGCCGCTTCACCACATAGCACAAGTAGGTCTCATGGCGACCCTTAGCCCAACGGACGTTTTTGAAATGGTAAAGAAACTTCCTCTGCTTCATCAGGAGGCTGTGGGTGAAAGGAGGAAGGAAAGTGCAAGGTTACTGCTCATTCTCTGGTCACTCATGGCTTTCCTATGGCTGTTTTTAAATCTGCAGTCACTTGGACCAAACCAGACAAGATGCCCTTGCTGCTTTTGCCAGAAGCCTGAGACCTACTGTGCTTGGAATCCATTATAAACTTTTCATGCTTGTATGTAAGACCAATGGAAAGACAGCAGGAACCCAAAGCTATACAAGCTCACAGGACAGTCCCTTCCCAAAGTTCTCTCCTAGGTGACAATAACTTGGAATGGCAGACTTGTTCCTCAGTCCCATCATTGTATTTTCAGGTTTCCCTGGCAATCTCTACCTAAATGCTCAATCTGTACTACAAAGTCAGTGTGGTCAGAACAGTATTCCTGAACTGCCCTCTGTCCTGCCTGTCCCGCTTCTCCTCCTGAATGTTCCATCTCAGGTAACCAGGCTAAAAGCTGGGAATCCTCTTAGATTCTTCTTGCTCTTCCCTCCTCATATTTAATTAATGATCAAAAATTATTCATTCGAGCCTCCAGGTATTTCTTGAATTTGGACCTGTTGTATCTCTCTATCCTCTGCTTCAGTCCAAGCTCTTGTCTTCTTTCACTTGTACCTGTTGTCCTGGCCTCTTAACTGGTCTCTCTGCCTCCAAGTCCCTCCAAAATAACATTTTCCATGCCGCACCAGAGTGATCTCACCAAACCCCAGGTGTAGCCCTGTCATTCCAAGCTGAAAAACCCCTAAGGAGTCTGTTTGGCTCACAGGATAAACTCCAAACTCTTTAATGTGTTATTTAGGCCAGTTTTTACATTGGACATCAATCTACAGTTTTCGCTTCCTTTCCTCTTTCTGTCTAGACATCTTGCTGCTGGAGCTTCCTCTGACTAAGAGCTTTTTCTATTAGGAAAACCCACACATTCCTCAAAGCCTGATGACAATGACAGTTTCCACTGTTCTAGAAAGACCTTTCTCACCACCACTATCCCAAAATTACTAGGCAAAAATCGACTGATAGCAACAAAAAAACATTTGGTAGTTTCCTATTGTTCTCCAGCTTGTCTCTATCAAAGAACTCCTCCTTTGTTATCAACTGATTGCTGGTATCTGTCTCCCCAAATAGGCTTTATATTTTGAAAGAATCACTTTATGAGTAATATATATTGCTAAAAGTATAAAAGCAATACTTGACTCTTGTCAACTTGAGTAGTATAAAAAAGTAGAGTTATAAAATTTAAAATATTAAAGGATTTTAAAATTGAATATCAGTCAGTGTCTAATGATAATTAGACATAGTGTCTAATTACTATTATGCTTTTCCTTGTCTTTTACAAGCCTATATTTACATGATTTTGATTATGCTCATTTCTATACTTTTGTATTCTGCTGCTCTTTTCACTTGGCAGTGTAATCTAAATATTATGCTACATTCACACAGAGGAACTGGTCCTTTCCCTGTGTGTTTCCTAGCTCCTAGAACAGCGTCTTGCATGTCATAAGCACGAAATTGAATTTGTGGACATACTCTCTGCTAACTCAAGTTCCTTTGCAGTTGTGAACGTAACACAAGCTATGCAGTGTGGTCAATCCCAAAGCACTAACAGCCTCTAGTTTTTGTCTGTCTTTTCCAGAAATGTATTTACCCAATTTGTGGAAACAATGCTGCCACCTAATGGCACTGGACAGAAGTGCAAAGAATTTGTAAAAATAAACAACTTGGTCAGGGATTTGAATACCGTTTGCTGGCAAGAGAATTGAAACTTTTTTCACTTTTTTTTTACATTAATGTATAATTTACATACTTCGCTCATTTGAAATGTGCAATTCTATGAATACTGGCAGATGTAAATACCCCAAACTGCTACCAGAGTCAAGGTACAGAACGGTGCCAGGGCACACTGCCCCCAGTTTCTTCATCCACCTTTTCAGCCACTTCCTCCCTTTTCCCCCAGGCAACCACTAATCTGCTTTCTGTTACTATAAATTACATTTTGTTTTCCAGAACTTCATACACATCGTACGTGATCTCTCCCTTTGTGTCTGACTTCTTTCACTTAGCACAATGGCTTTGGGATTCATTCCTGACATTGCGAGGGCGGGTGGTTTGTCCCCTCCGCTGGACAGTACGTTCCATCGCAGGGATGTAGCATGTTTTGTTGGTTCCTGAACTTGTTGATGGGCTTTCGGATTGTTTCTACTTTGGGGCTAGTGTGAATAAAGCTTCTGCGAACTTTCATTTACCAGTCTGTGTGTGGGCAGATGTTGAGAATAATTATTTTAATAATGTGATACACGAGATAGACCCTGAACTTAAAAGTGAAGTATACACATGTCAACTTTATTAAGTAGGTGAACAAGAACAAGAGCTTTTTTATAGCTGTCACAATTTCAATGTCTCAATCCACATATGTGGATCTTATCGGAATAACTTTAAAACCTGAGGCAGAGAACTAAATTTATCACCATATACGCATTATGCATGCCAAACAATAGAAACTTAGTCAATTATATTATTTTAGAATTAGAAATGCACATTTGGCAGGAATCTAAAATGAATGCTAACAAAAATCTGATAGTAACTGGCTTTATTTTTAAATAAAAGTAACTCACTATGGTAATCACCATGGTGCTACCATTATCACCATTACTATTGTTACACACTTAGCATATAATAACCCATAGCATAGATAAGTTGAATACATAATAAATGCTTAACATGTACTGAAGAAGAGTGCTTAATAAACATTGAAAGGAAAAAAAATTCTCTCTTTGGGGCCCAGTCAGTTTAAAATAGAGTAAGAATCCTCCCATACCAATAAATTCTGTTTATATTTAACCCACCCTTCTGGGCTGTATGGATGAGAAGGCCGGGATGGGGGCAGGTAATGGCAACCAGATCATGCACTGAAGGCAGAGTGGCAGGGACCAGACCTGCTACCCTGACGAGGACCGAGTGTTCTGAAAGTTATGGAAAATGACATGAAGTAGGTAAAGGAATTCAGATGGACTTTTACTTCCCACTCCACATGAAAATGCAGTCATTCACTGTCTCTGCCAGAAGTTCCCTGTCACAATGAAGCGAATCGCATGACTGTGACCTGTTAGTTTGCTTTCCTGATCCATCAGCTAGCTCCCTTCAGCTGTAGCAAGGAGCCTGTTTCCAGCACCCTGTTCTTCTCTTGGTTTCTCTTCTGAGCGCAAAGGACTTTGCAGAGGCCGTTTTTAGGCCTACAGGTTGACAGCTGCTTGAACAGCTGTGCTCCCCGAGGCAGAACACTGGCTGCATCCCCAGCAATGCAAACCAGAGACAACTGGGTAAAACATGATCACGCCTGAGTCCCTCTCTCCTGCCCTGTGCCATCCATCAATACTGTGCTCGGCAGGTACTCCTTTCCTGAACAATAATTGTGTGTTTCCCTCTCCCTCCTGTTGAATCGCATCTTTCCTCCTTTCGTACTTGTCTTTCTCTGAATTTCAGCTACTGATTTTACCCCTGTTTTGCATTTCATTATACACAAATATCTCCACTGAGGCCTTTACCTCTGACTTATACCTCAGATTAGTTTTCAAAACATCACTGAAACCGAGCAGACATTCAACATTTTTCCCTCAAGAAACTTTTCCGAAGAACACTTACTCTGCCATTAAAAACCTTAACTCTGTTGTGTAAATTCTTTGCAAAAGAAGTAAATTGAGATTATTCTCATACATGTGGAGGAATAAATAAAAGTAGGAATAGTCTGTGATAGTAACTCAACTGACATAAACTGTATGTGAAGACATTGTTAAAAATCTTGCAGAATACACATTTAAGAAATTCAGCCATGTCTAAAGACATTAAAAGACTAAATAGTAAAAAGCTGCCTCATCATTGGACCTCTAACAAATAATTTGCTTGACTGAATTTTTCTCCTTATAATAGACACAGTCATAGTGATTTTCAAGCTATTAAGTTTGGTTTGCAGGCTGGTGCTCACTCCACTGAGCCACACCAGCCAGAGCTGTTCAATCTATTAAGTTTGAACATTGGCACTTAAAAAAATAATTTCCTTCCTATGTAACTAAATTATTCAGTAGAGTCTCCCTAGGAAAGTTTACCTTCAAGTGGTTTTTATGGTTGAATATTTACAAAATTATTATTACAATGACCACTACTGTTTTTAGTATAAGTATTGCTTTTTTTTTTTTTCATGATTTGAGTCTCTGAACATTTGCTGTGTTGATATTATTACCACAAACTAGTTCTAACTGCAGTGGAAATCTCAGGACAGGTCAATACATGTCATAAAAGTTCTTTCAGATACGAAAGAGAGAAAGTTAGGCAGACAACATGTAAGATCTGAACAGAGGATGAGACAGATCCAGAGACACAAATCTGCATATTGACCAAGCAGATCTTGTGAATCAGATAGTGATAGGAGAGAAAGGGACAGATACCAATCTCATTGCTCAGATGTGCTGGGAGAGCAAAGCCAAAGCAGCCACCGATCAGGAGATGGTCTTTTTACCTGTCCATAGTGGAGTCCAGAGTGTCTTTCTTGGCTCCCCAAAAGTCTTAGGCCAGGGAAAGCTTGCCTCAAGCACAGCTGCTGCACTGACTGACAATGCATTGGCCCAGTACATTTAAATTTGAGCTCACCCTTTTGGGCTCCTCCCCCCCATGCCATCATCACCACCTGGTCCCCCAAAGGCCTTCCTCCTGTTGGGGCTCAATGAAGATGGGTGGGTTGTCATAGGCAGAGTCACATGGGCAAAGTGATTTAAAGGCCACTCTGCTTAACGTATAGGTTCCTTTCAGGCTGCCTCTCTAAAACTTCAGTCCATGCTCCACAGGTAACACAGATCAGGAGACAGTAGCATAGACACTTTGTAAATTGTAATTATGGTAATTTTAAAAGCATAATAATAATAATGCTCATTTAAATAGCATCTTGTGTTCTGTGAGCTGAAAACATCTATTTCCTCATTTAATTAGACTGTATCTCTGAATCCCAATAGAGACCAATACTAACAGTTCCTGCTTTGTGACTGAGCAAGTAAACTCAGTCAGTTACATAGGACTTAGGACATAGAAATTTTGCCTCCCAAACCACTAATTTTTTCTGATTATATTATAAGAATTGCCAGGAGACTGGATGACTACACCAAAGAGTAATTTTTGCATAAGCCATCTTTTCACAAAAGCCACATATTAATTTGAAGCCAGAAGCAGCAGCATCCCAAACAATAAAAAGTTTATAGCATCAGGCAGAATCAGGATCTAAATGACTCCGTTGAACTTGGAAAATGGGTTGGGCTTTTCAAATACGAGGCCTTAAGTTCTTGCCCTTATTCAAAGTGGTCTTATAGATTTTGCTTTGCCCTCCTACTTCAGTCCATATGCATTTTATTTACTCATTCAACAGAAACTTAATACCTACTATATGATAGAATTGTGTCCACTGTCCTCTCTCCCAACTCATAACCTGCTCCTCTTGCCATCTTCTCTCCCTCAATGGCAATGTCATTCTTCCCATTGTTCAGACCAACTTGGCAGTCTTCCTTGACTGCTCTTTTCCTTTTAAAGCCCAGGCCCAATCCATTAGCAAATCCTGTTAACTCTGCTTACAAAGTAAATTCCAGAACTGGACCACTTTTCACCACCTCCAGGTCCAAACAACTTGAATTATTGCAGTTAGCCTCCCAACTGGTCTCCCTGCTCCTGCCCTTCTTCAGCTGCAGTCTGTTCTCCACATAGCACATGTCAGGCAAACTGAATAAATGGCATGTGCAAGATATAACTTTTCTGCCGTGTAACAAATTTAGACAGTTGGCCTAGCGTGTAATTAAATCTAAACCTAATTGAAACATGGACTCTGAGCTCTTCATTTTGTCAAAAGAATACCTGTTGGCCACCTTTTCAGCCGGAATGTTTTCTCCTTCTTTCAGTTTGATGAGGAGCCTCGTGAGCCAGGCAGTATGGGAGAGAATGTAGAAAGGTTTGAAATTCAATCAATTTCTCCAACTGGTTTCTGAAGGAGAATTTATCTGTGGATATTTATTTATGCCATTTTATGAAGTCGAGTTGATAGGGTGTTCAGTAAAGCTAAAAACACAACACGAAATACTCAAAATACATTCTTTTATAATATCTCCTTCTTTTTTGAAAATCTTACCTTTTAGTGTATGACAACATAAAGAAGATTCTTTCCAATTCAGTTTGCAGATGAAGATTCTGGAAAGCACCCTGGCTGGTGTAGCTCAGTGGACTGAGTGTGGGCTGGGAAACAAAGTGTTCCAGGTTCGATTCCCAGCCAGGGTACATTCCTGGGTTGCAGGCCAGAACCCCCAGCAACCGCACATTGATGTTTCTCTCTCTCTCTCCCTCCCTCCCTTCCCTCTCTAAAAATAAATAAATAAAATCTTAAAAAAAAAGATTCTGGAAAGCAAAAAATTCTGCCATGTTTATTTTGATGTTCTCCTCCCTTGGGAGCCATTCAAAAGGTGCTTTTTAAAGTAATTTATGAGCACCACTTTTTTTAATTCTTTGTTGAAGATAACTTTTTACTAACTGAATTATGTTTTTTTCATGGACCAAAATTTTTTTTGTACCGTCCCCTTATAGTGTCACCCAGTTTTAATAAAAGAATCTTCTGAGGTATGGGTTCCCTGCCTACTGAGGGAGAGCTCTCCCCTGAGCTCGCTCTCTCCAGTGCCATTAGCCATACTTACGGTGTTTGTTTATTTTACTTGAGAACTATTTACACAGCACCTGTTAGGTGTCAGCTGTGGTGCTGGGCACTGGGGCTATGGAGGAAAACAAAGTTTCTATCCTGTGGACCCCAGGTCTTCACCTTAGAGCTTACTCTGTCAGCCCCCAGTGGTCCAAGCAGACCAGAGGCTGGTGGGATTACTGGGTTTCGTCACTGCTTCCAGCTCCCCTGTTGGGAAGGTACTAACAAGACAGTGTCACTGCCATCATCTTCCTTGTCCTTTTGAGCTTCCAGGGCTTGAGTGTGCTGGCTCAAGTGCATTGTCCTCAGGAGCCTGTGATCCCTTAGGCTTGATGAACCTGAGCTTCTTCTAAGGGAGTTCCATTTCTCAGGGTTCCTATCTAGGTCCGAACCAGGGTCTGCACAGCTAAAACCCCTTTTGTTCTCTGTGCCTGCCATTCTTTAAGGTTCCACTTTCATGGCTCTGAGCAAGATTTCAGTTCTTAAGACCAGCATGGGAGTGCTTGCTGTGTTGTCATCCTCACACTATAGACAATCAAACCCTCACTGAAAGGGTTGGGAGGATTTTGCTCAGGATTGGTACCTGCATCAGCAGAGCAGTTCTCAACATGTGCTTGACTCCCATCTTGTGACTCATTACTTTTCTGTGCTGTTACCTAGCTTGGTTCTATCCAAGAAGGGGGTTTAGAACATATGATGAGCATGAGCACCATCTCTGAAAACTGAAATTCACTCATTTACTGTTTATTGAAGGCCACTATGAGAAAGCAAAAGGCTAAGCTTTGAAGGGGAACAATGATGTACATTATAGTTCTTCAAGGAATTTATAATTTTATTAAAAGCTTTAAAATAGACAATACTGTTCTGGCTGGTGTGGCTCAGTGGATTGAGTGCTGGCTTGTGAACCAAAAGGTCTCTGGTTTGATTCCCAGTCAGGGCACATGCCTGGGTTGTGGGCCAGGTCCCCAGTGGGGGGTACATGAAAGGCAACCAACTGATGTATCTCTCGCACAATGTTTCCCTCCCTTTCTTTCTCCTTCCCTTCTTCTATCTCTGAAAATGAACAAATAAAATCTTTTAAAAAGACAATACTTAAATGACATATGAAATAATTAAGTGTTAATAAAAGAGAAACCTGAAAATTATGGAATCATAGCATCTCAAAGTGGAAGGAACCTTAGTATTCATCTAGCTCTCTTCTTCTTTAAATAGGATATGCATGTTTGGAGAGAGGCCCAAACCAAAGTGAGACCAGGCAATAGACCAGGGAGAGGTCAGAACCAGGATACACGTATGCTACCCTAGAACATAAAAGTTATGCAAATATTAGGAAAAACCAGTATTTTTTATTTAAAAAAAATATTTAGAGTAGCCCTGGCCAGGTAGTTCAGTTGGTTAGAGCATTGCACTGATATGCCCAAGTTGCAGGTTAGATCCCCAATCAGGCTATATACAAGAATCAACCAATGAATGCATAAATAAGTGGAAAAACAAATCAATGTTTTTCTCTCTCTCCCTTTCTCTCTCTCTAAAATCAATAAAAAGTAATTTTAATCATAAAATATTTAGAGTAGAAGAAAATATGCACATTAGTTTTCCTTAAGCTTATAACCTTTCTCCATTTTCCTCTCCCACCTCCATGTAAAAAATAAAAGGCCTCATGACATGGAACATCTCAACACATTTCAATAATTTGAACTCCCCCCCGTATGCAGAGTAAGCCTATACCGGGCAGGCCCATGAGTGTGGCTGCTAATGTAGCACATGCAAATATTGAAGATAAAACATGGATTCCACGGCAATTTCGGCCTCATATAGATTGTTTGGGATTATATCCTCAGATACTGAAGCATTTCTTCTTCTTCTTTTTAAAGGATTTTATTTATTTATTTTTAGAGAGGGGAAGGGAAGGAGACAGGCGGAGAGAATCATCAATGTGTGGTTGTCCCCCACTGAGGACCTGGCCTGCAGTGGAGGCATGTGCCCTGACTGGGAATCCAATCAGGGACCCCTTGGTTCGCAAGTCAGCGCTCAATCCACTGAGCCACACCAGCTAGGGCAAGCATTTCTTTTTTTTTTTTTTTTACTTTATTATGCTTAATTTTATTGATAAGAAAACACTCAAGCATTTCTTATTTTATAGTTTGACAGGGAAAAAAATTGGGAACAACAATTCTGTAATTCTCTATAGAAAGCATGAGTCCTTGCTAAAGCATCCCGAACAGTTGTCTCCTCCCCTCTGTTCTAATCCCAGTAACAGGACAGAACCACTGAGTTCAGAGGAAGAAGAGAATCACTGCTTCACTGAGACCTGGATAAATGGTTACAATTTTAATAAACAAAAGTACTGAATAGTGCATTCCTAGAGGACAGTCTTTGAAGGTAGAGAGACTCGGGCCCTTTGACTTAGGGAACCGTGACATGGGGAAAGAACCCTTTCCTCCTACGGTCATTCCGAGGATCTGCTTAGCCGCTGTGTGTGACTGTGAAAGCAAGGTAACTGGGATGTTTGGGACGTGCTTGCTAACATTTTTCACCTTTTCTCCAGGTGACGGGAACAATAGGAGCGAGGGCAGGACTGTCTGGATGTACGTTTTATGTTTTGGCAGACATGAGTAGCACAATCTGGCTTGAGTGATGGCTCATATGAAAGCAATGATGATGATAAAATTGAGGTGTTATTCATATTTCATACAAGCTTCTTAAGGAAAACTTCCTAACAAAATTGAGAGTTAAGTAGTTTGCATAATGGCTGTAAAAAATGTTATTAAAGAGGTATGATCTCTCCAGCATAAGAAAATACCTTTATTTCTCTAAAAGCTGGATTCCCTGGTCACTGTCCTTCATTTAAAGAATGGAAAAATACATTTTTTTAATAAT